CACAACATAGAAAAAAGGGAGCTAAATACCAAACACTTGGAGTATCTAATGAAGACAGGTGTACACAGTTGGTTTCCTTGAGAAGTTCCCCTCCTTAAGTAGAACAAAACTCAAAAATAAAGAATAATCCAGATGATTTGAGTTTAGGTAGGACTATATGGTCATAAGAAAAACGTGAATACCAAGCACACGTCCAACTGCGTGTTCTCACTCACCTATGGAATGGGAAGTCAGCTGCAGCACTTTATACTCAAACACACAGCCAAAATCCTGGCTTAGCACATGGAGAAAAGGCCAGACTTCATGTAGCTTTGAGTAAATCATCTTAATCCCTCCAATGAAAACTTTCTACTGCTGGCACAGGTCACTTTGACCACACAGATTACTCCACCAGCCAGGCTAAGCTTTTCCACCAGCTCCTGGGAAGAATGAAATAAACCCATGGTACTCAAACCATCCCAGTGTTTATTTAAGAGCCTGAGCAAATAAACCAAATGTGAAAGTCATCTCGTAACTCAACAGCTCCAGACTCCAGGAGGTGAGGAGTTGGAAGGACTTTCATATGCCAGAGTGTGTTTGCAGCCTTACTGGGACCAGACTAAATTCCTTCAGGAATGGGGTGGGTTTAGGCACGATAGACTGTTATGCCTTTATTAAATGCACCTAAACAATAAATTTTACAATCCCGATCAGGTATTTCCTAACGCACCAACAGATATTCTTGGCTATTAAAACACCATGCCTTGATTCCTTACCAGGGCAGAAGATGCAGCAAGAAAAGTTGGTTTTGGGAAAAAAAAAAAATCCTTCTTCAACATGAAACAGACTGGGAGAGCTGGGAATGTTCACCTGGAGATAAGAAGGCTCCAGGGAGACTTTAGAGCTCCTTCAACAGCCTAAAGGGGTTCCAGGAGAGCTGGAGAGGGACTGGGGACAAGGCATGCAGGGACAGGACACAGGGAATGGCTTCCCACTGCCAGAGGGAAGGGATGTATGGAATCTTGGGCAGGAATTGTTCCCTTGGAGGGTGTGAGGTCCTGGCACAGGGTGTCCAGAGCAGCTGGGGCTGCCCCTGGATCCCTGGCAGTGCCCAAGGCCAGGATGGACACTGGGGCTTGGAGCACCCTGGGGCAGTGGGAGGTGTCCCTGCCCATGGCAGGGCTGGAATGGAATGGGTTTTTTTAAGGACCCTTCCAACCTAAAACATCCTGTGATTCTATGACCTTTTAAGCATGCTTTAATCAAGCAAAGACTACATGCAACCATTTTATTTTTGGAACAAACTTTGAAAATATAGAAACAATGCACTCATGGACACATAACACAGAATCTGTGGTTTGTGTCAATGGTGCCTTAGCAACAGTCTCACTACAATATCTTTAGAATCCAAGCCCTGCTAGCATTTCTTTCTAGGGTAAGTAGATCTGGAGTGTTTGTCTGTGAATCACTGTTGGTTAAGGGAAGGTCACACCGCAACCTCCTGATTCCTCAGCTGCAGACAGATGTTCCTGCATGGTTGGGGGAAAGATGGGGGCCTTATCTTTTCTTCTAGTAAGGCAATGTCTGACATGCAGATCTCTTGATAATCACTACAAAGAAACCCTTCCTTCAAAAAAATCAAGAACACAAAACAAATACAACAGACAATAAGCCAATCAAAAAAAAAAAAAAAATACCACAGTTGTGGACATCCAACCCACCCAGCAGGGAACTAAACTCCCTCAGGGAAGGTATAGCTGTGAAAATCGTTGCTTACATCCCTAGCCCAGCCATATGCACCTCTCCCATTGCCTCCGAAATGACTTTGAAAGGAGTTATTCTGGGACGGTAGTGGGGAAAAAATGAAATTCCATCTGCTCGCAACAGATTTCTGACAACAAAAACAAAGACAGTAGCTCAACACTAGTTATGCAAATAACCCCTCACTTCACCAAGCTGAACATGACTGAGAGGCCACTGAGTTGTTTAGTTATTAAACAACTAAAGAAAGTCCCAACTTCTTATATAGGATTCAGTCATCACCAATCTTTCCACAGTCTGGTAACGACCATGGGAAATGACCCTAAGATGAAGGAGGGTTTAGGTTAGATATTATGAAGAAATTATTCTCTACAGGAGAGATGAGGCCCTGGCACAGGGTGCCCAGAGCAGCTGTGGCTGCCCCATCCTTGGCAGTCACCAAGGCCAGGCTGGATGGGGCTCGGAGCAGCCTGGGACAGCGGAAGGTGTTCCCGCTAATGACAGTGGAATGGAATAATATGCAAGGGACTTTAAGGTCCCTTCTAACCCGAGCTATTCCATGCTTCTAAAAGCCTGCACTAACAAGGAATTGTGCACAAAATACTGCTGTGCTTGCCTTCGTTTATTAATAAAAACGGGAAAGAAAAAGGTTTTGCCTCGTTCCACTTTCCCATTTAGCTTCCTACATTTTCACTTCATTATCTCTATTCACAACCAAGATGCCTTAAAACATTATTTATAAGAGAAACACCAACCACCCCCAGTCCCCACCCTTAAACCTGTAAGGAAAAGTTCATTCCTGCTTTAAAACTGCTCAAAGAAATGATACTTCACTGTACCCTATGATGGAGCACTAGGAGAAGCACTTAAGGGGAGTCCTGCAGAGCAGAAAGCCATAAGCCACGTCACATGCAGTGTTGCCCTGCAGCACGCTCCAACACCACTGCACTGTCCATGCTCAAAAGCATTTCAAGGTGCTGATATAACTTGGTTGTCCACCAGGCTCCTTTCCTCCTGGATATATTTTTGTTCCAGGCCAAAAGCAATTCTTTGCTCTGCTATGGGGCTGAGGAACACAGACAGGTGTAGCACAGGTACAACACCAAGGGCAATCTTTGTGTCCACACGCATTTCAGGTATTTTACACAACAAATACCAAACTTCAGGTCAAAGGAGGAAATCCCAGCTCCAGCTGAATGTTTCTCAGACCTAACCACAGATGCATCAATGCATCATAAGGTCAGTACTACTTCTCATCTCCTGTGCTTCAAATTAATCTGTCAGAGGTAATTTATAGCACAAGGAGTAAGAAGGGAAGCAATAACGGAGATAAATTCCTTTTAGACGTATGAAAAATCCAAAGGTACCAGGCACTGGACAACAGATTTCAGGAACCATTTTGTTCTTATGCTAAAATTATCTATGCAAATGTACAAATAAAAATTCATGGTTTCATGACAAAAATAATTTCAAATATGTCTGCACAACTTTTCCTAGAAAATTTTAAAACTCCCACATCCAATTACAAAGCCCCTCCAAGTATCCCAAGTACCTGGACCAGGAATGCTTAACCAGGTGAGGTTCCCATAGCCCAGGTCATGTCAAACCCCTGTTACACCTGAACACACAGAGCTGAAACCTCAAAAAGGAAGCATGATTCCCAAAGCAGAGGGAAAAGTGGTGCCCAGCTCTCAGGAGTGGTGCTGGCTGAGATGAGCTCTGGGATAAAGGTGAGCTGCCACAGTAGTCTGTGACAGGGACAAGCAAGGGCAGGTTGGAGACCTACCTTGTTTTTTTCCCCTTCATCACACGCACGGCAACAGCTGCTTTCTCGCCTGCCAAGAGCTCTGCAGTACTATTCTGAGCTTTTTGCATCTCATTATTTAATTTATTTATTAAAGCCTTATAGGGGAAAAGGGAGGAAAGGCTTGCTCAAAGCATTTCAGTTTTATTTAGATTAAGACAGGCTGTTCAAACTGGCTCAGAGTCAAATAGCTCCACTAATTACAATCCCTAGTTTAGAAAGAGTGAAAGCAGTTCTTGGTCAGGTGCTACATCTGCAGAGCTCTTCACTTACCGGTGAGTTTCTCATCTCACCAAGTTTAACAAGCAGAGTTTAAAGCACATGGCAATTCCCAAACCACGAAATGGCATTTCCCAGGAAATGAGTCGATTTAAAACTGAGCTGTAAAACTGAAGCCACTCTACTGTTCCCCATTAGTTAAATATTACAGGTGAGAAAGCAGCGGCTGGCACAGATGCAACACGAGCACTGCCCCAGTTAAAGGAGTAATGGGAGTAGCAGAATCAGACTCACTGGGGTGGGAAAAGCCCTCCAGGATCACCCAGTCCAACCTGTGACACCCCCCTCAGCTTGTCAAACAGCCCAGAGCACCGAGTGCCGCATCCAGGCATTCCTTGGACACCTTCAGGGATGATGGAGGCTGCACCACCTCCCCAGGCAGCCCCTTCCAAGGCCTGACCACCTTTCCAGGGAGAAATTCCTCCTGGTGTCCAAGCTGAACCTCCCCAGGCCCAGCCTGAGGCCATTCCCTCTCCTCCTGTCCCTGTTCCCTGGAGCAGAGCCCGACCCCCCGGCTGTTCCCTCCTGGCAGGAGCTGTGCAGAGCCACAAGGTCCCCCCTGAGCCTCCTTTGCTCCAGGCTGAGCCCCCTCAGCTCCCTCGGGAACTCTCCAGCCCCTTCCCAGCTCCATTCCCTGCCCTGGCCAGGCTCCAGCCCCTCCAGGGCTCTCCAGAGATGCCCCAGCACTGGAGGTGCCCCAGCAGTGCTAGTAAAGGGACGGGCACTGCCCTGGCCCTGCTGCCACAGCCCAGGGGCCATTGGTCCCCTGTCCACCTGTGCACATCTGGGCTCATGTCCAGCCGCTCTCACAGCACCCCCAGGGCCTTTGCCAGCCCCCCTGCCACCTGGAATGCTCTGTGAGTTTGCTGCACTCAAGAGCAGGACTCAGCACCTTGCCTTACTGACCCTCAGCTCGGTGCTCTCAGCCCATCAGTCCAGCTGCCCTGATGCCTCTGCAGAACTTCCTGCCCTCCAGCAGACTGACACTTCCACTGAATTCCATGTCATCTGCAAACATGCTAAGGCTGCACTCAATCCCCTCATCCAGACCATCAATAAAATATTAAATAGGACTAGGCCTGTTGGTATCAGCTCAGCTAACCTTGACCCGAACCCTCCAAAGCAAGGAGGACAAGCAGCATTTTGACTTTTGCCATCAACTCCATCACAAATTACATTATTTTGGGGTTTTTTTTTTTGTTTGTTTTTGTTTTCTTTTTTTTTTTTTTTTGTTTCTCCCTCTTGCTAAATAACTGTCTGGTATTTCAGAGACAGAGAAGGCAAGAATTGATAAATATTGAATGCTCATTTTTAGGATTTGGACCATTAATTTCAATGTTTAACTAAAGCTACTATTTTCTATGTGTGGGCAACAGCTTTAAAGCTGAATCCAAAAGTGTTTCACAGACAGCAAACACAGAAAACCCTTGAAAGCCATCAGGGCTTTACAGGCAAAGACAATTATTAAACTCACCCACAGGACCTTTCACACCAACCCCTTAAATATCAAAGGGAAACAGGAGTCCTGCACAGTTTGTACTAAATTTGCTGCTGCTTTGGAACTCAAATAATTTTAGTTACTATGTGCATGACATATTTGCTATCTCAGCGAGACACAGGATTTCACGGGGTGAATGTTGGTTCCATAATGATCAATAAGTAGTTCCCTCATGGACAAAAGCCATGGCTGCTGCATTCCTTAGGAGTATGGTCCAAGCTGTGTCTTGCCTGTGATCCTCACTGCCCCACACTGAACCCAAGAGCAGACATTTTCCCAGGGCTCTCCATCCTCTTTTCTCTAGAGACAAAATTATTTCTACATGAGCAGTGCTGTGACTTGTCAATAAGCACAGGCTGCTCTGCCAGATGAACAACCTCACCCAGCCACTAATTTGCTGCAGAGCACTTTGCATCCTGCCTATCCCAGTCACATTCCCACAACTCCCTAACACAGAGGCACTGGCAAGAGGAGGATTTCATGAAAGACTCAGTGTAGTGAAGCATTACATAAAAATTAAATGTTAATGCAAAATTTTTGCAATGTTACTAACAGTATCACTTCAGCACTGCATTAAAAACAACCACTTTTTAACCCCAAAAACAAATCAAAAGTCATTTATGTAAATAAATATAGGGGAGGAAAAAAGAGTAATTTGCAAACATGCCTTACAGACATCTCACATAAAAACTTCAACATCACTTCTGCACAGGTTCCACCATTCCACACCAAAAATACAATGTTCTACATGAGGTTTTAGCTGAATTTTTGCAATAATTGAAAGATACAATGGTTGAATTTAGTGTTTCAATCCTCTAAGCACAAACTTCATCACACAAACAGTGACTACACATCACACAAGGCATTAAAGCTGGGAGAACAGAATTCACAGCAGAAAGCTGGAAACATAAAACCTTCAAAAAAAAAAAAAACCTACAACAAAACACACCAAACAAAAAACAAACATCACAACATTGTAAGCAATGGAAAAAATATTACTTCCTGCAAGTTACTTTTATATATAGAAGAACACCTGAGAAGCCTTGTGAAGCTCCCAGAGAGTCACGATTGTCAGGATTCCTCAACCAGTGGGTTTGGGGTGAACTTCAGCTCCAGACAGAAAGCAGAGGGGGAGACCACCCCCCCCCCACCACCAGCCTGCTCTGCTGTCAGCAGCTCTCCATGAAATGTGATAACATAGACACATTGTTTTGCTCTAATTTATTCCATTTGAGGCTGCTGTTCTATATTAAGAGTGTGACAAACCTTTATATGTCCAGTTAAATTTTAATATAAAAGTATTTTTTATATTTGAGAAAAACCTGACAGGGTGTCAATTAAGAAATAAAGTATCCACCTGCTCCCGGGAGAGCAATGTGTAACAAAAATATCAATAAAAAATATTTCTAAAACAACTTCATAGGTTTTTAAAGGGATGATAGCATGACAAAATGTTCTACAGTTACTGACTTCCAGTTTCTAATCTGAGTAGATGTCACTGGGCTGTAGAGGGAAAGATGCAAAGGATTGTGGAATGACTGGTGCTGGAGTGAATCATCAACGTCTCTGGATTAAACATGAGGACTTGTTCCATTTAAAAATTACCTTCAGTAATTGAAACAGTAATTTCAGTTTAGCACGCATGAAGCACTGTGGAATAAACACCACCAGTTCTTACACTGGTAAGAAACAGCTGCAGGCCAAGAGCATTTGCTGATCAACAGACATAAAAACTTAAAGAGAAATGACAGCCAGAGCCCTTAAAAACAAAACCAGAAAAATCCTCTTTGCAGATACATGATTAAAAAGAAACCAATTGATCAGAGACTGATGATACTACCCTGGAGATACTCCTACAAGCGCTTCAAACCACACTTACCACTTTTCCTCCTTCTCTTCTCTGCCTTTTTCCTTTGTCTTCCCAAATGCATCATGCTGACAAGTAACAACCATTCAAAGAACCAATTACTGTTTCTGGGTCTTTTTTTTTTATGTAACTCCATCTTAACAGGCTTTTTCTGTAAATCCCCGTGAGTGGGATTCCACCTCAGCCCCGTTCTGTCAGTCTGTTCCCCCTGCTCTGCCCAGATGATGGTGTGATCTCTGCACCCAGGCTGCACAGTGACATCATCAGTGATGTAAGAAATGCTCATCTCTTCACTTTACCCAGGTCATGAATGAAAATACTACATCAGGTTTCAGTTCCAATTTCCTACCCTCTCCCTTTCTTAAACAGTGTGAGAAACACTCATTCACCTATAAAGCTGAAAGAGAACAAAGTCATCAAAGCAAAACTATTTATTAATATAAACACGGCAGCTGTGACAGGTGCCTCTCACCGAGGAGGCACACCTCCCCCTGAAATGTACAAACCTTTATGCCCTACCCTAGCCAGGGGTGTCCCTGTCCCCTCTCCCACAGCGTGGATACCCAGGAATGTACATTCTTCCTGGCCCTACTGCACTCAAACCAACAGCTCCTCCACTCTCCCCTTTCTCTCCCCTGGCACAAACATCAGTTAACTCCCCTTTTCCTCCCTGCCACACTCCCTCCTCAGGCCTAGCCTCCTGCTAGCTACATCTCTGCCTACGTGACACCAAGTATACATTCTTATGGCTGAAGCAAAACATTATTTTACCCCTCACAATCCACCCGCTTTTTATTTACCACCTTTTTGCTGAGGCCCTTGGTTTGGTGATCTGTCTGGCCAGTGTGGGCTGGGCCGTGTTTGCAAAATGGTTCTATTCAAATGTAACAGTTACACTCCAGACCTGTTATTTTGCAAACGCATGTTTGTGCTGAGCTAGGCTTATTCCAAAGTTTTAGGTCTTTGTCTCCTCCTGAGGTGCATAGCTTTGCTCTAGGTTCTGTAAAGTAAGATGTAGGTCATCTTCTGGTTTTGCTCTTTTCTGATCTCCCCTCCTTAGGACCACGATCTTCTGGGCTCCTATTCTTTGACTAGCAGCTGCGAGGTTTGGGTTCACTGGCATTCTGATCACCTGCATTTCTTCTACTACACTAGCAATTAACCTGATAAAACAGGGAATAAGATAAGGTATAAGCAATAATCCAGCAAAGGCACATAATAGAAAGAAGCCCATCTTTCTCCATCAGGTTTTCCCAAATAGGTTATCCAACCACTGAGAATCCCACAGTGTTCCATGTCTGTACTGGCACATAGGCAAGCTTTCTGATGTTTGAGCCAATGTTCCTAAATTTTGGACAATCTAGTAGGTTTGTGTTCCACCAGGGATCCTTTCCTGAGATTTTTTAAGTTTATCAGAACAACATGCCACATTGGGCCAGAGATGATGGGTGAAAACCCATTAATTTTTTCCAGCAACTTTCCAGGTCCTTTGACATTTAATGCAACAGCCAGCTAAAATAGGGTTTACTAGGACTAAAATTATAATCCAGGCAGTAAAATTTAAATTATTCATTTTTGGGACAGATAATCTTTTAAGAGTTAGTTTTAGAGGGTTACTTCTCTGTATCACAGTCCAGTCCCTGGGAGGTGACTCCACTGGTCTTTTAATTCAGGTTGCATGCGCCACCCTCTCTCTACAGAGTGCACTACTGTCTCAATTGTCAAGGGTATTGGAAAGGGACCTTCCCATGTCAGTGTCAAGTTTCCGAGATTTTACCAACATCCAATCTCCCAGTTTTACCTGATGTATGTAAATGTCCAGGACTGATGTGTGGGGCAACAACCCCTTTCTTCTAAGATCTGCAAAAGAGAGTATTATCGCCTGCAAATAATTTTTCAGATACAGGACATTTGTTTCAGGAACTGGCAGCCTTTCCTCCCTTCTAAGATAAAGTAATCCAAACAACATTTCGTAAGAAGATACTCCATGTCAGGGGCTGCTAGAATCAGCAGGGTGTGCCTTCCCCTATTCCTACTGTCATACTCAGGAGAGTCAGAGGTCAAGTCTCCCAGACAATTCCCCAAATTGTGAGAAACACTCACTCACCAATAAAGTTGAAAGAGAACAAAGTCATCAAAGTAAAAAAAAATTTATTATATAAATATGGCAGCTGAGTCAGGTGCTAGCTACATCTTTGCCTCACAATAGAACCATTAAATTATTTGGGTTGGAAGGGAGCTTAAAGCCCATGCAATTACAAACCCCCACCATGGGCTCTATCCAACATGATCCTGGACACCTCCAGAGATGGAGTAGCCACAGCTTCTCTGGGCAACCTCTGCTACCCCACCACCTTCCTCATAAAACGTTTCTTCCTTACATCTAATCTAAATCAACACTGTCACTGTTTGAAGCCACTCCCCCTCATTCTGTCTCGCCAAATCCTTGTCCAAAGTCTCTTTACATTTCTTGTCAGCTCCTTCCAGTTACTAGAAGGCCACAATTAGTTCATCCTAGAGCCTAGTCTTCTCCAGACTCAATAATCCCAATTCTCTCAGCCTTTCCTCATAGCAGAGCTGCTCCATCCCTCTGAGCCTCCTCTGGACTCGCTCCAAAAGCTCCAGGTCTTTCCTGTGCTGGGGGCCCAGAGCTGGAGGCAGCTCTGCAGGTCAAGTCTCACCTCAGTGGGGCAGAATCCCCTCCCTTGGCCCCTCTGTTAACACTTATCCTCCTGTCCAACACCTCACCAATTGCTCCCCTTCCATACCTGCAATAGGAGAAGGAGCCTGATTAGTTCTATGTCAATAGAAATGGCAGAATGAAAGATAAAACTCTCCAGATTTCCTGACTACCACACACAGGTGAAAAGTTCTTCATACATAGGTCATGCAGTGCAGTCCTGCTCTGGGTGGTGCCATTGAATCAAAGAAGCTTCCAAAGCCCATATTGCAGTTATTTATCTCTTACAGGTGCCTTCATCCTAAACGATGCTTAAGAAACATCCAACATACATATATATTGTATTTTAAACAGTTTCACTTACAAATGGAAAACCTACCTAGCAATTTTTGTCTGTGTACTATCATTCTTTCCTTTAACACATTCTTAAATTTTGATCTCAAGGTCAGACTGATAGGTCTAAAGATAGCAGATCATCTTTCCCTCCATTTTGTTAATCACTACTGCACAAATCAAAGACTCAACTAATGTTATTTTCTATGATTAGCTCTTCACTTGCTTCACCCTAGTTTTAAAACTGCTCTTAAAAGATTATCCATACATGTGCTCAAGGGCAAAATTAAATTATAATTAGATGAAGAAAAGGTTTTAAATGTGAATTAAGGATATAAAAGATACAATAAAACTTCTGAAAATCTAATCAAATATTAAGATTAAAAGAGTAGCAATGAAAAAGGCAGAAAATCTCATTTGAACCAGTGAATGTGAGTGCCATCAGTATACAAATAATCAGGACAAAGTACAACATGGACTATTTTAGAAGCAACACAAAGCAAATGTTATGACTAGGAGTCCTACAAACTCCCTCCATGCCTCTAAGTAACACCACACGTAAACACGTGACCCACGGTCTCACCTCCAGCGCTCGGGATGGGCTCTGCAGCTTAACAGCCAGCTTGGGAAAGGACTGGCCATTCTCCAGAAGCTTGGTGTGGAAACAGCTCTCTAAAAGCACGGTGAGATTGGCAGGTAAGACTCTGATGGCATCAGTCTGATAGCACCAGCCTGTCTGCAGGGGCTGGAAAGCTCCTCCTTGTGCCAATCAATTTGGCATGACAGCTGTTATCCACTTCATAAATCAGTCCTGTAATTCTATCCTGTATTAATGCACTTGGAGAGGGAAGTGTGCTATAACCCTTCTGAACTGAAACTTCAACAAAAACACACAGAAAACAACTCAAGGTACAAACCATGACTTTGGAAAAAAAAAAAAACCCAAGAAAACCCCCAAACCAGACCAAGTGATGCACAGTAATTTCCCTCCCCCATTTTCAATCCTGTTGCAGTTTGCTGCCACTAGTTTGCTACAGGTATCACCGGTAAGTAAGGACAGCAAGAAAAACAGCTGTACTGGGTTTGGTTTTATTTCCACATGGAATCACACAATATCCTGAGTTAGCAGGGACTGACAAGGATCACTGAGTCCAACTCCTGTCTCTGCACAGGACACCCCAACAATCCCACCCTGTGCCTGAGCGCATTGCCCAAATGTTCCTGGAGATCTTGCAGCCCTGGGACCATTCCCTGGGCAGTGTCTGACCACCCTCTGGGGGAAGAGCCTTTCCCTGATCTCCACCTAAACCTGCCCTAACACAGCTCCAGCCATTGGCTCGGGTCCTGTCACTGGTCACAGAGAACAGAGACCAGAGCTGCCCCTCAGGAGGAACTGCAGTTCACAGGGAGCTCTGACCTCAGTCTCCCCTTCTCTCCTGCAGGAATATTTCTGAAGATGCCCTGGAAAAAGACTGCAGGTGGCATATTGCCACCATCTACCTTCAGTTCAGTGCCCATATAGAACAAACACGTCCTGTGCAGTCTATGGATAGGGTTCCTCAAAAGGCAGCTCATAACAACATTTTATTTACATTTTTAGATCCTAAGCAGGGCTTAATTTCAAAATCCCACACCGGAAAAGTTTGGGTTCAGTTTACTCTGTGTGTCTGGGTATATCTCAAACAGTATTCAGCGCCAGCAATGTTTAAAGATATTTTACTGTATAATCAGTAGGACCTTCGCTACCAAGATCAGGATGAGATGATACATGATATACTTCATATTACATATATCAAAACTACTTTGTACAACTATTTTACTCTGATGACCTGTTCTCTTTTCTCCTTCGCTCCATTACTTAAATAAATAGAATACCATATATTAAGAAATATAAGTAACATGTACAATAATTACTTTGACTCCACATCTCAGAAATCGTAGAGCTTTACCTACATTACATACGTTTTACACATACTATGTACAGAAGTAGCTGCCAAAAGAAAACCCAAAAAGAAAATTTCAAAACTTACTATTCCTACTATTTTCACTCCTCGCAGAAATTACAGTGATACACAACTCACCAGGGCCAAACTTTTCCAGAGTTTGTTTTTAAAGACCTAATAATGAACATGCACAACTTATAAAAAAAGCTTATAAAAGGACTCAAAGTCATTAGAGAAGAACCTCTGCTGAAATGCAAGTCAGTCATGAGAAAGGGAAAAATATGTGTGTGTATATATTTTACCCCATGAAAATTATAGCTATCCGGCACTTTTTTAATTTAATTGGAGATTAAAGGGAAAGCATCTTGTGCCAAGTCACAGTCCTGACCTGCCATTAATCTTCAGGAGATCAACAGCCCAGCCTGTCAAAGGACTTCCAACACTCACTATGGCCATCAGGCATGGCATCTTTTAACTGCTCTTATCACATGTTTAATTTAGGAGAATTTTAAAACTTTCCACAGTGCTTTCTGACCTCAAAATGGGTGCTTTTTCTTCTTTCAAGGTTCAACTGTCAGATATGACAGTTACTACAGAGATCATCCATAGTGGTTTATCTCCTCCAGCATCTATGGGTAGCAGCCTCCATCCACGTACTTTCATATTTTCAGTGTGTTACATACAAGACACTAAGGAAATATTAATTTCAGTAATGCCTGTAGAATCCTGTTAATCTCCCTAAACCTGAACAGAAAGATTTCCTTCAGTGAATGACAAAAATAGATTTATTGAACTTACCACAGAAACACAAGACAGCCTTGATGCCCAGAAAGCCCCACAAAGCCTAGCCATGAAGGGCTCAGACTTCTGCAAATTTATAGCTTTAAATCAATACGAAATGTATGAAAAATTCAAGTGCAAACAAAAATCAATAGACACAGACACATGGTTGTCTCCTACTGAATTTCTTCTTCAAATCCACAGGTAAAAAGCAAAGAACCCTATGGATAGAGGCTGAGAGAGCTGGGGTTTGTTCAGCCTGGAGAAGGCTCCAGGAAGAAATTCCTGCATCTTGCAGTACCTAATACAGCTTCAAGAGTGCTGGAGAGAGACTTTGGACAAGGACATAGAATGACAGTACAAGGGGGAATGCTGACCCACTGACTGCAGGCAGGGTTAGATGGGATATTGGGGATAAATTCTTCCCTGGGAGGGTGTAAGGCCCTGCCACAGGGCGCCCAGAGCAGCTGTGGCTGCCCTATCCCTGGAAGCGTCCAAGGCCAGGTTGGATGGGGCTTGGAACAACCTGGTATAGTGGAAGGTGCCTCTGCCCTTGGCAAAGTGTAGAACAGACATATGAAGTTACATCAACCTAACAAGAAAAAGGGAAAGTGCACCCTCCATGTTCCCTGGGAGAACCTGCAGCCCAGCCAATCTCACTGGCACTGGTGAAACTCATGTAGAACCTGTCTTACCACAGGGCACTGCTTAAGCAGCCCAGGTCTACACCTACACAGCGTGAGCCACCATACCTTCATGTCTGCACTCATGCTTCAATCCTACGTGCCTTACAATACTGGAGAATCAGTGGGATTTAGACAGTGGCAATACAGCAAAGGATGCCTCCTCCAGCACCACGTCCTGACTAATGCACACACATCCTGCACTGCAAGCAAGCAGAGTTCAGGCACAGAAGCCACTCTGATGCCTCAACCAGCTTTGATCTGATAACACAATTTCCACATTGTAATTTCCTGTCTTTCCATATCACATGACAAATTCCCGTAAGTGCTGAATAGAGAAATTAAGATCACATTTAAACTCCATCACTTTTAATACACAATATCCTTTTTCATCAGCCTCAGTGAAGATGATTTAGGCATATTTATAGTAACATTAACCATATTTCTTCTGCAGGGCAGTATTATTCTCGGAATAGACAATTGAATGCCAGTTGCCATGCCAAACTGTCATTAAAATATGCTTCCAAACCTCCAAATTCCTATGTAAATAGAGTTATCATCAGAACATCTTTAGACCATATAAATAATTTGTCCTAATTAATTTAAACGGAAACTGAACCAAGGGAATTAGATGATGAACTGTATTGATTCCTGAAGTCTGTGATCATCTATTCTCAAGGGAACAGTAAAGATAAAGGCTATAGAGCCATTTCAGCTTTTCCAGCCAGACCATACATTCCTGTTTCTACCAGAAATCCAAATTCCCGTTCTCTCATATTCAAACATCAAACTTGCATAGAAATTGTTATTGTACCATTCACATAAGTGAATTCTGCTGGTACTGACATTTGCCTGCTGTCCCAGAAATTCTTATCAGCTCAAGTACTGAGAAAAGCTGAAAATGATCCACAAATTACTGGTTTAATATGCTTTCAGCAGCTCCAGAGTTTTCTTTGGGTTCATCACATAAATTCAGATAAAACAAGTTAACAAACTATTAGCAGTATCCACAAGAAAATTTAAAGTTCCAGTAATATTAGTATGGATGTTTCAGAATAAGTGTGCATAGGCAGGAAGTCAAATCCTGGTTTTGACTTTGAACCACATCAACACCTCCTCAAAATGATTCATCCTCCAGAAGTTGAATGAGGGCATACTTAAACACCCATTACTATTCCCAAAATGAAAACCAGTAACTTTAAAGAGTCACTGCAACATGTGCTTGTGAGAAAGACACTGACTGACCCAAATTTATAGAGGTGCCTGTTATGTGTTTCAATGTAATAAATCAATCCCTTAACTAAAGTGACTGACACACTGTCAAACAAGGAGGCAGTAACTATACATAAATGCAGATGCAAACAGAGTGTATCTTGAACAACAATAAATTTCAACTTTTTCAACAAAACTAAAAGCAACTCGCCCAACAATTGTGCGTGTTCCTGATCTCCCCTTGAAAAAAATTAAAATTAAAATCACCAGTGACCTCAAAACTAATTATTTCGCACTATATTATTTAGAATTCAATACTTTGCTTCCAGCAAGCCAGCAACTTCAATGTATGCTCACAATCTGGATACAGCAGTATCCAAAGTAGTATCCACTTTTTTTCTAGCAGCACTAAAATCCTTAATAGGAAACAATACTGGAGTTTTCCCTGTTTTGTTTTGGTTTTTTGGGTTTTTTTGTTTGTTTGTTTGGGTTTTTTGTTGTTTTGGGTTTTTTTGTTGTTGTTGTAGCACTGGCCTGCCCAGTCAGCACTTCAGTTCCACACTACTCTGAAACTCAAGTCTTGTAAAGGCTGGAAATCTTTGCAGCATCACCTTTGATGATTTCACACAAGATCAATGTAGCGAGCAGACACAAGAGATCTAAGCTCTGAAATCACTATAAAATTCAAGTGACACTTTCCACTCTGGATTAATGGGAGATTGACTGTGCAAATTCATCATTAAACAGACAGGTGCACAACTCTGGCAGGAAACATGCTGCACCTTGCTGCAAAAAACCTTCACAAAACCATCCTGAGAAGCTTATTTTAGAGGAACTCAAACACGTTCTTGATCACAACAAGCAATGAAATCTAAAAGCTGTGCTCAGGGTAAACCTGAATCAGATTTTCTGTAGATAGTGCAATTACATTCAAAATATCTGGGAGCAGTGACACCAACATGTGGAAAATGACCAAACTGTGCCAGGAAAGAGATAATGACACACAAGCACAAGGAAATGGAGGGGAAAAAACAAAACTAAAAAAAACAAACAAAAACCAAACAAACAAACAAAAACCCTAAACCCACTCAATACACAATTAACCCACTGCAGGAGTATTTTTTTTTTCATTGCAATGACTGAAAACTAAACAGCTTTTAATCACAAAGTAATTGAAGACATTCCTTCCCTTTGCCATGAAAAAATATTAAACCCAGCCTAAATTTTCTGAATTAAAAAAATACGTCTCACTTTCTGTATTTGAGTTTATAAAAGCAGTTTACAAAAAAATGCTAATTCATCTGTGCCAAGCTTCTTATTCTTTGAGTAGAAAAGCACCACCTTGGAGATAAATATGAAATTTTCAAGAAATACAAACACTAATAAGAAAGTCTTCCAAAGGGTGTTTTCCTAGCGCAACTTTTCTTATTTTTTTTCTTTCAGCTTACAGAAGCTAGCAAAGAAAAAAAAGAAGGTTTCTGAAATCATGAGGGAAAAGGCAAAGAATAGAAAATCTGGGATTTTCACAACTGTGTTTATACATCCTGCACAAAGCTGAGCAGCACTGTCTCGCGGTAAAGGTCATTAAGGATAATTTTCACCCCAAAGATGATGTGTAACACGCTGTACCTACACAAAGCAACAACCCCCTATTTAAATTTTTGCAACATGCACTGAGCACACCCAAGCTAAGTTTGTGTACTGCAGCGCTTTCACTTCTACAGCTGTGAGCCCAGCAGGCACAGCAAGGAATAAAAGGTGGTTTACACACTGGAAAACCCTTGGCTGGAATGCCCAGACCACCTCTGTCAGCATGGTTTCCCTAAACCAGCTTAATTCCACTACTGCATTTTCAGGGAACTGAAAATTCTGAATCTTGTGACACTGCAGGAAATTTGTTTTAGCAAGTGAAGCCACAACCAGGATCAGGAATATTTTCCAGATCCTGGGGTGTCCAATAAGTACTTCTCACAATCTGTTCTGATCAGCTACCCCTCTTTAGCAGGAATATTGCTCAGTTTGCCAGTAAAACATTTAAATTCTTCTTCATCATGCAAGATGCACTAGGAAACTTATTATCAGCCCAAAACAGAGTCCATTTTCTTTCAATTATTCTCCAAATCCCCCACTATGCCAATGTCCCAAATTTAGGTTATCAGATTGCTACATAAAGCTTGTTCTGTGTGCAATTAAGGGCTCTTAACAACCCTAATGATGTCACAACTCTGCAATAAGGACAAAGCCCTTACGTTCTGAATATCCCAAGCATTTCCCATTCAAGCCCAAACCATGCCTGGAATCATCTGTATGCAGCACACATCCACCAAAAAGCCTGGCAAGCAACCTGCCTCTCTGTCGAACAAATATTTATTTTAATCAAAAGAAGGAAAAGTGACAGTCTCAAGTAGATCTAAAAGAACTTCTGCAAGGATCAGCCATAAACAAAGCAAGGAAACAAAAGCAGGAACTAAAAGCAAACATTGTTACTGCTCCAGTGTTTCGGTGACTAAATGAGTATTTCATTCAAAACTGTGCACAAAAGCAAATTATCATCTCTCTCACTGCTGTAAAACTGATTACCAAATATTCCAGCCCAGCTTCCAAAATGCTGCAGTGACTTAATAGGCAGATGTGAGCATGTGGCTGTGCAAGAACAAAGCACTGGCATAAACCTGCTGTGATCCTTCTTACAGTGAATTCCAGCTTGGAGCAGCTCCCGCCTCCCCCAAAACTACTTTGCTTACAAAATCACATCATTCTTAACTTCATCTTCGGCCTGTTGTATTCTGTTTTTTCATTATGCTTTAGAAGATGTGATTTAAAAGCTCCTACTTGCAGGAAATATTTTAAGTGCAGGAAAAAAAAGCAAAGCTCTATCTGGTCAAGAAGGTAATTCCAAGTGCCATGCTTAGAACTTCAAATTGGAATAAAACTCTTCAAGGAAACCATTCAAGAAAAGAGGATCCATGGGTATCCTAAATTAATACAAAAAGGCAACAGCTTGGTCAGCAGCAGCATTACCTAAATATAGCATTTTCAGCATAGATTTCATAAACAATGTTAGGTGCAGGAAGCTCAGGGTTTGAAATTTGATCACTCACAAAAGCTTGAGAGGAACAAGCCAGGAAAGTCAGATCCATCACATATATTGCAAATAGTATTTCAATTTATCAGGACATGGGATAAAAGGATTGATGGTCCTAGTTGGTTGTTTGGTTTTTTTAATTAAACAAAGCAACTATTTTCTGTGAAAACAGTGCTAATTCTCAGTAATTTTTTGGTATTTCAATGTAAGTTATTTATGTTAAATGTAAATTGATGAAGATGGTAACAAACACCTGGTTGGACTTGAGTTTATTGTATTAGTTTCCAAGGGAGAGTGTGGCTGCCTCATTCCTGGAAGTGTTCAAGATCAGGTTGGACAGGGTTTGGAGGAACCTGGCCTAGCGGAAGGTGTCCCTGCCCATGGCAGGGGGTTAGAATGGGAAGAGCTTTAAGGCTCCTTCCAACCCAAACCATTCTGTGATTATTCTGCATTCAAAATGAAAGGAACAACTGAGACTGAAATACTGGAAAAATCCAGAGCAATGTCAGACAACTGCTAAAGGACTCAGGCAGGTATTCCCAGAAACAGAGAAATAAGACAAATGGTGACCACTGTCGATAAGGAGGCGTTTGTAAGTCCAAGTCAGTGATATGTTCCTGGATTTGGCAGGCACAGGAATGCTATCCTTTATCTGCTCTCTTCCGGGAGGTCTTATGCTAAGATGTGCTCAGCAGGAAGACAGGAACAGGACAGGACTTACTCCTCTCTCTTACACATGGAGTGTTCAGTAATTCCAACAACTAAAGCTCCAGCAGGCAAGGCACTGGATGTGTGTGAGGTAGAGATGACACGGAGGATCCAGCATGAGCTGTTTTGTCTGACTACTCTGAATTTTCCACTACTGCCTCCTTACTATAAAGCAGACTGAAAAAAAAGCAGCGAGCTTATTGCAAACATTAACAAAACCTCCCGCAAGTCAAATATTTATGTTGCTCGTTTAGTGCATGGCAAAAACTGCAGAAAAACTCAGATATTTCAAAAATACTGAATTATTTCACAGGTGAAATTTTGTTCTTAAAACAGCCCTAGTAAAATATCAGATTGTCCAATAAAACAGCGAGAGGAGCAACAACACAGAATTCAGATTAAATATTACCCATGAAGTTCTCAATGAACAGATCATTTAAATAGAATCATGGAAAGGTTTGGGTGGGAAAGGACCTTGAAAACCTCCTTCACCTTCCACTAGACCTGGTTTCTCCAAGACACAAAATAGATAATATTTATAAATTATATACATGTATGGATAGACAGAAATATAGACGTGTGGTGTTACAAACGCACCGCAACAGACATGCATGCATAAGGATATCCATACATACCTCCAAGAACTACATAAAAGCATATAATTTTTTTTTCTCAGTGTATTCATTAAAATTGATGATGCTTAAGTATTTCCTACTTGAATAGCTTATTCTTTTTTACCAGTGCACAGTGTTTGAGCAAGCCTTTCATTAAGTAGCATGGAAGAGAAAATTATTTTAAAGCACAATAGTATCTTAATGAATAGGGAGGAACAGAATGGGGATCAGGCACAAATGCAGCCCCATGATCTAATTTGAGCACTCAAACTGATTTTACTCAAATTGCCAACATCCTTGGATCTATTAAGCATCTTCCTGACCTTCCAAAACCTACAAACTGCCTCAGGTAGCTTCTTAAAGACAACAGTTTATATTTAAGCTTTTGACCAAAAGTTCCTATTTATTTAGCAAAGAGAATTCTGATAGTTATTTTCCAGCTCACAGCTCTCTCAGGTAGTGATTTACAGAAAGCTAGATAAAGTTCCCCTTCACTGTAATATTCTTTGGCCAAGCACACTCTATTACCACCAAGTCCTTCATAACATCGAATCAGCAACACATAACTGCTCCCATTATATTACTAAAAAGGGAGTTTAAAGGATACACTCTAATCTGTTTTTTTACTCCCCAGCTGTCAGGTTGTATGGTTAAGTCCTGCTTAGCATTTGCCATCTCCCACCACAAAAAGAGTATTACCATGAAAGGAGCACTAGTGCCTTTACATAAAAAATCCATATTCCTGGAATGATTTGGTATTTCATTATACTGTCAAAATATTATTTTCAGCTACCATGACACATCCAACTGCCCATCAGTGAGTCTATACACACAATCCACATACACTGACTTTTCAGGAAGTCAATCATTATCTTGAATTTGTTAATCCAACCCTTTACAATCTCAGGACAATAAATGTAAGGGAACCAGAGGTCATTTCTTGTTCTGTGCTCTACCTGCCTTGTCTGGTGAGGAGTGGCTGGGGTAGCTGGGAAGGCTCAGCCTGGAAAAACTCAGGGATAGAATGAGAAGAGCACATTCTCATTCACTCCCTAAAACTCTCTGATGGAAGGGTGCAGCCAAGGGGGAGTCAGGCTCTACTCTCCAGGGAACAAAAGACAGGACCAAGAGGAAATGGCCTCAAATTGTACTTCTGGTGGGGGGTGAGACTGTATACTGGGGAAAGGTTGGTCAGACACTGGAACAGACTGCCCAGGAAAGTGGCTGAGCTGCCATCCCTGGAAGTGCTCAAAAGCATGTGGATATGGTTAGTGGTGGTCTTGGCAGTGCTTGGGGGCGGCTGGACTCGATGATCTTAGAGGGCTTTTCCACCTTTAATTCCATCTGCTAATTAGGCAGCTGGCTTGACAACTCAGTTTAGGAAGGATGAGAGGCTGTGTCACTGAGCTGCAGACAGTGCTTTGAAGAGTCTGTTAACCAAGCAGGCAGCATCTTTTTGATTGTACAATAATCAATGCTGCCAATTTCACTCTCAAGTTTGGAGCTCCCAAGCTCCCACTGCTCCAAATGTAATCTCAGGGTGCTGCTGCAGCTCTGTGACTAGGGAATTTCTCATCCCTCCCAGCAGCAGCTCCTCACCTGCCCATACCATGGCAGCTCGAAGCCCACAGCAGCCTCCAGCCAGCCCAGAGCCCTCTGGAGTTTGTACTGAAATAGAAGACACAAGCACATCAGGCATATTCTGTGTTTTCTGGTTCAACTTCCGTTAACACCAAGATGTTTATCTTTGAACAACTAAAGTGGCTGGTTCCACATTTTAAAAAAAAGTCACCTCAAGTCCTTCCTAAATCAGCCTTCCACCTGTAAAAAGCACCACTGATCTGGGGTGCGTTACTACTACATCTAACTGCAGTCTAAAAAAAAGTTTTCCCAGGGAAAAAGGGAAAAGGAATATTAGAAGACTGCAGCTCAATGCTACAATGTTCATCCTCCACCGTGAATGCAAGAAGATGTGAGAGATTATTAGGTTAGTGAAGCACAAGGTGTATCTTTACAATGTAAATGAAAACAGTCAAGGCCACAAATACAGTCATCACATACATCTAGATAAGATGCCAAATTTAATTACATCTCTCAGTCCAGCAGATAAGCACAAAGAATACACTGCAGTTAGAAAATAATTTTCACCTGCTCTTCTACTTCCCATTTGTACCTATAGCATCTAATAACACATTAGGTCCTTTAAAGCCAAACTCTTGACAACAGTGAACAAAACAAAAACCTCCTGCAGAGCCAAGTCTGACAGGAGACAGAGCAAACTCAAGGCATGTGAAAGAAGACACATGACTGCAAAACTATGAACACCGCCTCTCTGCATTTCTCAGAGCTCCAAGTTTAAACACATTACTAGGAATTTGAACTCCTTAATAAAACTAATAAACAGACAAATAAACCATCTATAAAGAAAAGAATTATTATATTTTTTCAGGCAAACTTTTAGACTAGAATTATATATGAGAAAGAAAAAAGAAGTTTTATCAAAACAGGCAAGAGGATAAAAAATTTAGGTTCTATTAGCAGTGAATATACACCAATTCTTTTTTCACTTGGCATTACCATTCAGAAAAGAAGCCTCTCAAATCCAGTCCCCTTAAAATAACAAATATCCTAAGTTTCTCCAAGAAAGTAACAGGTATGAGGCTATTCCTTTAAGTACTCTCCCAGCTAAAAGAAAATGCTTGTCATGACAGTGGCAAAAAAGACATTTAAAAGCTACATTTGAATTGTAAATGTAGGCGAACCCAGTGGGAAGAAATGCTGATATCTGACTCTAGTTCAGAAGGCTGAATGATTATTTATTATAACTATACTATAATACATTCATATATTATTTAAAGGAGATACTAAAACTACATACTTACTTTTTCTAACTACTATATTTCACTCCCTCACAACTCATGACTTTCTCGCTCAAGTCCAGCCACAGGTGGATTGTATTGGCCATCAGGCTCAAACAATCCTCACCAGAATCCAATCAAGCAATCTCCCCAGGTAAACAAATTTCTAAACACATTCTACATAGGAAAACAAGGAGCAGAAATAGTTTTCTCTTTCTTTCCTCTGTACTCCTCTATGAAAAAATCTTAAGAGAAAGAAGAATGTGCCTACCACAGTTTGGACTTCCAGGGCTTGCCTAGCCTGGAATCGTTTCCATACAAAACTCCTTTCAAACTGTTTACAATACACACTCATCTACAGACTGCCAATAAATATGAATAAAAAAATTAAAGTATTTTTCTTTCATGCCTTCAGGTTATATAGACAGTTACCCTCCTCTCCCATCCATAAGGAACATCACCAAAGGGTGCTTGGTACCTTCAGTAGCTCCCCAATAAAGCAGTCACTGCCTTTCTTTACTTCCTTCTTTTCCAGGAATCAGCCCTGCCAGGGAATTCACCTAATGCATGCAGACATGCAGACACACACACTGGCTCTCTCACTGCCACAGCTGACGAATCCAAGGCAAGTAACCATCTTACAGAAATCCTTGCCATAATACAGAAGCCAGGGAGCATGTTCAGCCTATTCGCATTTTCTCATCCAGTGGGATACACCTCAGGCACACAACCCAGCCAAGTAACCCAGCACTAAAAGAACTGCCCCTAGCACTGCAGAAACGCACTTTCTATCAGCATATAGCCCAAAAATCATTGTCCTGTGCAGACACTCCTCATTCCCACACACAGTCATTTGCACATGTCCTGGACCAGTGCAGAGCCAGGGGATTCCATCCCCCTGCCCAGAGCCCTCCTTGAGCCTTTTTCTCCTCCAAAAAAAGGACCCTCCCAATACCCTCTATCCTGTCCGATCCCCTCCCACTGCCCAGTCTTGCCTCCCCACAAGCCCAGGAGCTTTTTTCCACCAAGCTGCTACTACCACTGCCCCTCCCAAAGAGCCAGCAGAATTACAGCTCCAGAAGATGAGCCTTCCAAATGCCAGCTACTCCCATAAGAATACTGCTTCTCTTCCCTGCACATACCTCTCCTGAAAGAACCTTTAACCAAAACCAGCACCTGCTGATCTGCCAACAAGAGGAGCTTCCTTAACCCCCTCCAAACACCTCTAGAGTCTCCCCACAGCCCTAACACCCACTTGCACATCCTTCTCCTCCAACCTGTTCTAAGTGTGATCTAGTCCCATGTACACATTAGTCCTTCTCCCCGCCCAGGAACTGGCCCCACACCCACGCTGTCCTCCTCTGTCCACCTGCTCCTCACTGCTCCCATCAGCTTCCAGCTCCAGCCACATCCACGCGCAAAGCTATCCCCATTCACCCACCATCCTTACACTTCCATTTATCAGTTCCCAAATGTAACCCTACTGCCAAAAACTATCCCCCTACCCACTCCCCTCCAACTTTACTTTCTGTCTGGACCTACCAAAACTTAAACCAAACATTTTCCTGGCTGTGCAATCCATCACGCCCAGATCCCCAGTGATCCAGTGCCCTACAACCACTGCTCCTACACAGCCCCTTAGAATCACAACTGATCACCAGTTAAGCATGTGCAACCCCAGCCAACCAACACCAAAAATTCAGCCCCCTTAGATGTGCCTCTGCAAAACAAACATCCTGTATTTACCAACTGTGGCACTAAACATCTATATTCCATTGCTCTGAGAGCTCCAGCAGGAAGCCCAACCACTCACCTCCTCCAAGGACCTCCAGACCAAGCCTACCACACTGTCACCCCATCACACCCATGCTGCCATTACCCTTCAAGCCTGTTCTCGCACACCCACCTCTCCCTCTGCATCCAAACCCCTTTTGTCCCCTTGCAGGACTACTGCCCATCCCTTTTCACCCACATTCCCCTTAATCAGCCCCACACTCACACCCTCACTGCCCAGAGACCCAGCCCCTATTGTCCCCTCAACACGCTCCTATCCTGCCCTAACACCTGCATCCTTACCATCACCTACACCTATCCCTCGCCTTTATCATCACCTGGACTGCCACTCACCTTTACCATCACCTGCGTGCCCCTCACCATTCCCTTGACCTGCCACTCACCTTTAGTGTCACTTCCATCTGCCGGTCACCTTTCACCTCACCTGGTCCCGCCCCTCACCTTTAATGTCACCCCGACCCTACTGCCCTCACTCACCCCTGGACCCTGCTCAGCCTCCCACCCCGTTTGAGTGCCCGAACCTGCTTCTCGTACCCACCTCCCTATTTCCCTCAAGCGCTCCTTTGGGCAACCTGACCCGGGCCACCAAGCCACTGCTGTGTCCTCTACTCTCTCCCTTGCACTGTCCCTCATGCCCATCCCTGACGTGGCTGCAGCACACTCCCCTCCGTACCCCAACCCAGCCCGATCCCCACGGTCCAAACGAACTCCCCTCGCAAACCAGCCCCTCACCCTTGAACCAGCCTTTCACCCCCGTACCCCACACCCAACACCTCACTCAAACCAGCCCCTCACCCTTGAACCAGCTTTTCACCCCCGTACCCCACACCCAACCCCTCACTCCTGAACCAGCCCCGGCCCCACGCGTCCCCGCGCCCCGTGCCCCACCGCAGGGCACGTCCGGCTCCCCGCCCCGCGGGAGCTCACCTGAAGCGCCCCCCGCAGTGCTGGCACTGGTCGCCCACCCAGCCAGGCTGGCACTCGCACTGCCCGGTGCCCGGCTGGCACCGCCCGCCGTTGGCGCACGGCTTGTCGCATTCCTTGGACACCGCCACCTCCTCGCCGGCGGCGGCGGCGGGGCCCAGCACCAACAGCAGCAGCAGCGCCAGCAGCGGCGGCGGCGGAGGCGCCGGTGACCTCCCGCCCCGCCTGCCCGGTGCCCGCCGCGCCATCTGCGGCCGCTGCCGGGTGGGAGCGGGGCGGGCGGGGGGCGGCGGCACAACGCGGACCATCGGCCGCGGCGGGGCCTCCGCCGGTCCCGCTACGGTGGCCGCGAGTGGGGGGGGACCAGGAGGGCGGGGCCGGTGACGTCACGCCGCGGCCATGGCGGCGGGGAGGGGTCAGATGGGGGAGTCACAGTCACAGGATCGGTTCCACTAATGGCAGTCTCTGGTGCAGAGAGAGTGGAAGCAGTTCTTGGTCGGGTGCTACAGCTGCAGAGCTCTTCACTTACCGGTGAGTTTCTCATCTCACCAAGTTTAACAAGCAGAGTTTAAAGCAGCACATGGCAGTTCCCAAACCATGAAATGGCATTTCCCAGGAAATGAGTTGATTTAAAACTGAGCTGTAAAACTGAAGCCCCTCTACAGCTCCCCATTAGTTAAATATTACAGGTGAGAAAGCAGCGGCTGGCACAGATGCAACATGAGCACTGCCCCAGTTAAAGGAGTAATGGGATGGGAGTAGCAGAATCAGAATCACTGGGGTGGGAAAAGCCCTCCAGGATCACCCAGTCCAACCTGTGACACCCCCCTCAGCTTGTCAAACAGCCCAGAAAACCGAGTGCCACATCCAGGCATTCCTTGGACACCTTCAGGGATGATGGAGGCTGCACCACCTCCCCAGGCAGCCCCTTCTAAGGCCTGACCACCCTTTCCAGGGAGAAATTCCTCCTGGTGTCCAAGCTGAACCTCCCCAGGCCCAGCCTGAGGCCGTTCCCTCTCCTCCTGTCCCTGTTCCCTGGAGCAGAGCCCGACCCCCCGGCTGTTCCCTCCTGGCAGGAGCTGTGCAGAGCCACAAGGTCCAGGCTGAGCCCCCTCAGCTGCTCTTGGTGCTCCAGAGCCTTCCTCAGCACTGTTCCTTTCCCTGGGCACGTTCCAGCCCCTTAGTGTCCGTCCTGAACTGGGGGCTCAGGGCTGCCCCAGCACTTGAGGCGCCCAAGCAGTGCCACACAGGGCACAGGCACTGCCCTGGGTTGGAACAACCCCGTGCTGGGCCCCACTGCTCCAATGGATGATGGACACGGGATGGTTGGGGTCTGTCCCACCAGCATCCCGGGGTGTCACCGTACCCCAGGTGAGCCCGAAAAGGTCCCCTCAGAGGTGGGGATGTTCCCCCCTACGTCGGGAACGCCCCTCAGCCACCCCACACACTGCGAGTGTGGGCCTCCAGGCTGAAGGGGAGGGAAAAGGAAGTGTTCAAGACGAGGCTGAATGGGGCTCTGAGTAACCTAGGAAGCAAAATGGAAAGAAATTGTTCCGTGTGAGGGTGTGAGGCCCTGGCACAGGGTGCCAGAGGAGCTGTGGCTGCCCCTGGATCCTTGGCAGTGTCCCAGGCCAGGCTGGATAGGGCTTGGAGCAGCCTGGGACAGTGGAAGGTGTCCCTGCCCACATGACAGGAGTGGGATGAGATGAGATCTAAGATCCCTTCCAACTCAAACCACTCTGTGATTTTATGATATAAAATCAGAAAGTTGTATAAGAAGAAAAAAAAAAAAAGAGAGAATCTGAAAAACAGGATACCCTCCTACCCTGGAAAACAAGCTAGTGATCTCCAAGGATTTCTGGGCCTTAATTTTTAACAGCTAAGGCCTGAGGAAGGAAGAATAAAGAAGTTAAAAGTAATTCTCTTCTGAATTTGTGGCAAAACAGAAAACTGTGTTGGACACACAGCAAGGATATCCTTTGCAGCAGGAAGGATGACAATTTCAGACCTTTAAATTTTAACAGAATGAAAAAAGACATGAGAAACCTGACAGTGTTTGGAGTTCTTGGCTAACTGTTACCTTTGGTCTGTCTCCGGCAATATGATTGTGTCTGGACTTACACAAATTGTTTTGAGTGAGGCAAGATGTCGACAGCTGAGAATTTATTATTGAAAGAAAAAAAAGGGTAAAAGATACTATTCACATTTTTCCCTCCAAAAGGGTGACCAGGGTTTAGGTGCAGCAATGCAAAGACATGCAGCAGACTGGGTGGAAATATCCAGCTCACCATATTTAAACAGTTCGTTTGTGTTTAGAAATTCAAATGTTATTTACCTGTCTGAGGGAGGTTTTCAGTAGGAGCCTTAGTGATTTCTACATGAGTTGCTGGGATAACAAAGGGTGTGGGAATCCAGGGCTTCCCTCTGGCTGCCCTGGAAGGCCTGGGACCCTGGCAGGGGTCAGGAACCCCCCTGGACAGAGCCCCGAGAGACACTGGCTGTGATCTCTGTCATGGAAAAGAGTTTTTCATCTTACAGGATGAATTACAAGCTCTGAGTGATTGATATAGGTAATAATTAAGTGTGGCACGGGTGCAAAAGTAAAATTTTAGGATTCTAGATTAGGAGTTCAAAGGGGACAAGATGGAGGAAATTGGGTGTGTCTTGTCCTTTTTCTTCTTCTTCATGCCCTCCATGTTTCACTGTAGTGTTGGCATTTTTCTATTGGTTTAGGCTGGGGACACACTGTTCAACGTAGATGACAGATTTTGGCACATTATTGTAAATATAGCACAGGTAGTTTGTGGTATTTAATGTTTGTACCATCCCACTGAGGGCAGAGCCCCACACGCTGCCCTGCAGGACAGAGCTGCGGCAGGGCAGCAGAACATGTTAGAGATAAACAGAATAAACAACCTTGAAACCAGCACAGACGAATTATGACTTCTTCTTTGGCAACAGGGCTGACAGACAGAGACTTTCTACAATCTCGGAATCAACAATACCTCAGATTCCGACAAAAGGGTGTTGAGCAGATAGGAAAGAAAACATTCTAAAGAGTGGTTGTTTTTCTTTTTGTCAGTCAATTATCTCTAGCAAAACCACTGCTCAGAGAAGATTTTGCCTTTTCTGCTTGAGGCCTCAAGAAGGAGGATGAAATTTTGGGTTTAAAACTGTTGGGTTGGGCTGACCTGGTATTCAAAGGCAACCAAAACCAAAAACATGTGAGTGATGAGAAATAGGTTGCAAATCCCTTGTAGGCTCTAGAGAAATGGAGGCACAGAGAGGCTATTTGTACATACATCTATATTCCTGGGACACAGACAACTGCCAGCATGCCCTGAATCTGTGGATTCAGATACCTAGTCATTTCCCAAGGTGCTGCTAGAAAAGCCAGTCTGGCTCTGAGATTCAGTCAGCTCAGGATACAGGCAGTGCATGACACTGCTCTTTGGATTGTCACTGTAATGGGTGACCCTGGCTGGACACCAGGTGCCTTCTAAAACTGCTCTCACTCCCCTCCTCAGCTGGGCAGGGAAAGAAAATACAATGAAAGGCTCATAGTTGGGATAAGGGCAAGGAGAGATTAGTCACCAGTTACTGTCATGGTGAAAAGAGATGGAGGAAATCAGTTTAATTTATTACTAATCCAATCAGAGCAGGGCAACAAGGAATAAACTCCAATCTTAAATCGTTTTTCCCCCCACCCCTCCTTCTTTCCCAGGCTAAATTTCCCTCATGCTTCTCTCCCTCCTCCTTCCAAGTGGTGCAGGGGGGCAGGGAATGGGGCTGTGCTCAGTCCCTGACACTGTCACTGCGCTTCTTCCTCCTCAGGGGTTGGACTTCTCACATTCTGCCCGTCCTCCAGCCTGGGCTTCCCATGGGGGCACAGTCTTCTTCGGGCATCCCCATGCTCTGCCATGGGGTGTTCATGAGCTGCACGTGGATCTCTGCACCCCCACACCCTCCATCCATGGCTCCATCAGACATGGAGGGAAGCTCCAGCACCTCCTCACAGGAGCCACCCCTGGATCAAAGCCTGCTCACCCAAACCCAGCACAGTCACACAGGTGCTGCTAGCACAAGTTGCTCCCACCGAGTGATGCCAAAAGGTTCCAAACAATGGAAGTGTTGCTGGCATGGCTCTAAAACAATGTATGGATTAGCCAGATATAGCCAGCTCAGGGCTGGGGTTGGAATCTGCTGTCAAATCTTACCCCCATCCTCTACTTTGTGTCTCCTTACATCTGTTTTTGTTCACTTGCAGTTATCAGTGATAACAGTACTTGTATTGTCACAACATCTGCTCCCCCCTTTCTTGCCAAACATAGCTCTCTGTTGCACAAAGGACAGAAAGTAAAAACATTGAGTAAGGGTGGAAATAAACTTGGATAAATTGTTCCCATCCTAGATATCAGCTGAATTTCTCTTCACTGGTGTCAGATTTAGTGAACTGCTTCTATGCTCAACAGTTTTTTGGGTTTTTATCCAGCTAGGTGGGTAAAGCACAAGATGCCATCCATCCTTGGATCTCTCCCCACCCTGTTCCCCACAGCAGATTCCATAGAATCACAGAATCACAAAATGGTTTAGTTTGGAAGGGACCTCAAAGCTCATCTCGTTCTAACCCCCTGCCATGGACAGGGACACCACTCCATACAGCAGATTCTTCCAAGTCCTGTCCAACCTAGTCTTGAATACTTCCAGGGATAGGGCAGCCCCAACTTTCCTGGGAAATTAGCAATTCAAAAGGTTTTTGCAGTTGGAGAATCAAAAAGTTTTCTACCAGATAGAATTGTTAGATCTGTGCAGTGGTTGATGGTTGTTTTTTATCAAGCAAACTTCAAATCACTTAAAAAAATAGTTAAGAAGGGTCACCCAGTGAATGAGAACAGGAAGAGAGAGTTCTGACAATAAAGAAACAAATTCTGACAATAAAGCACCTAACAGAGCTGCCTGTGTTCATCAGCTGCCTGTGGCAAATCTCAAATACTTGGGAGAAGAGTAACATCTGTGAGTGTTGCACAAGAGAAGAAATCCTTTCCTAGCCTTGTTAGTGATCACGCTGTCCTCCCTGGCACTGTCTGTATCAAATATTAGCTGCAGGAGATAATTACTTTTATATTAACTTTAATCTGTCTCATTTTAACATGCAAAAAATGTTCAAAAATATTTTTGGGTTGTTGTCGTTGGCTTGGTTTTTGTTTTGGTTTTGGTTTTGTTTAAGTTTTTGTTTTGGTTGTGGTGTTTTGGTTTGGTTTGGTTTGGTTTTGTTTTTAAATATTGACAGGCAACTTCCTGACATGAAATATCATTTGGAAGGAGAGGAGTTAGGTTAGCCCAGAGTTCTGACTTGGCTGTTTTTATTTCAAAAGACAAAAATATTTCATAATAGATATACTAGAATGGTTAATACACCCTTTCCTGGTAACAGGCACAGCAGGACTATGGTGTTTTTGCAAACTACACATAGGGAGGGGATTGCCTTGAGGGATGGAAGGGCCCTGTGTATCACAGCTGAAAACATATAATCAGAGCAACACTTCAGTGACTGATCTCTGCTCTCTGGTGACCAGGGACAGGACCAAAGGGAATGGCTGGAGCTGTGTCATGGAAGATTTAGGTGAATATTAGGAAAAGATTCTTCCCCCAGAGGGTGGTCAGGTGCTGAACAGGCTCCCCAGGGTTTGTGGAGGCCCCAGGGCTGCCAGAGCTCCAAAAGCATTTGGACAATGCTCTCAGGCACGGAGTGGGGTTGGTGGGGTATCCTGTGCAGAGCTAAGAGCTAGACTCGATGATCCTTGTGGATCCTTTCCCACTCAGGCTACTCTGTCCATAATATTCTATGACTCACACAACTTTATGCAGTATGTGAAATAAGCAACCATTTCCATGGACATTGATTTTGGACAACTATAATCAAGCAAGTACAACATGCAAGTATCACCAGCACTGAATTAGGTCTGGAATGAGGAGTTAGACTCACCTCTATTCACTCTTGCTGCCAAACATTTATGGCCCCATCTGTTGTCGTTATGTGTGCAGTTGAATCCATATTTACTCAGTACATATTTGCTCTGTATATAAGCCAAGTACTACCCACTTCATATGCCCAATGACAGGATAGCCGGATATGCTAATGAATGAATTGGCCTCTGGGGTGAAATTATGTCTGCATTAAGAAGATTTACATTGATATTAATAAGGTCAGAGCATCATTGCTGATGGCTGAGTCATGGCTGAGCTGGGTATCACAGACATGTAAACAGTGAATCTGCCCTAGGAGGCTGGTTCAATGGTATGTTTATCAACATGGATCAAGTAATGGTGATATCAGAGGTCAAAAATCACATGAAACCATAAGCATAATACTGCATTGTACAAGCTTTTTATCTGCTGCTGAGATGAACTCACCAGAGTCCTGACCTTCAGAAATAACTCCCTAGCAAAGGGCCTGGAATCAAGGCCCTTTTATCCAATTATCTTGAATTCCAATTATCTTGTAACCCAGCATCGCCATTTTTTCTACTCCTCACCCAACCTGCTACTTCCACCCATTACAACCTCTGCCCACATACCCAAATCCTCAGCACCTTGCACCCTGTCTCTTCTGTTGAAGGTTCTTCCATTTTCCCCAAAACTCCTCTTCACCTCTGAGGGTTTCACTTCCGCAGCACTGGTGAAGTCTGAATCCAAACAAGATCATGGCCAGACCAAAATGTATTCACTCAAGATAATTGTTTGCTGCCTGCGGACATGTGTGAGGCAACTCTACACATAAAAACTGCCTCGTGGTCTTACCGTAAAATCCCAGAATAGTTTATATTGAAAGGAACCTTAAAGACCATCTTGTTCCACCCCTTACCATGGGTGGGGCCACTGTCCCAGGCTGCTCCAAGCCCTGTCCAGCCTGGTCTTGAACACCCCCAGGGATGGGGCAAACAGCTTCTCTGGGCAACCTGTGCCAGGGTCTCACCACCCTCCCAGGGAAGAATTTTTGCTAATGTCTACTCTAACCTGCCCTCTGGCAGTGGAAGTCATTCCAGTGGCTGTCCTTCTAGGCCCTTGTTTAAGATTTCTCTCCAGCTCTCTTGTGACCCCTTTGGACTCTGGAAGGTGCTCAAAGGTCTCCCTGAAGCCTTCTCTTCTCCAGGCTGAACATCCCCAATTCTTCCTTCAAAACACTCACTGGTTTTGAAGGACTTGTTTAATATATTTTTTTTTTTTTTTACTCTCCGTGTTTCCTGCAAACAACTCACATTTATTTTGTTTTGGTTCCCTTGATCCTGTCCCAGACCTCACACTGGCACAAGTCCCCCTCATACCAAAGAGCTTTTCTGCCCAAGTTTCTGAGCTGATGCAAATGTCAGAATGGCAGGAGTGAGCACAGAAACCCTCGATTTTCTACCCACCAACTGGAAATCCTGCTATAAGCATGTTTTACTATACAAATCCAATTATTAAGCACATTTAGGTATAAATTCAGAGTTTGCTAGAGGTCTAGTTTGATCTCTCTTTTTCCTTTATTTAGATGTGGATGGACAAAGGTCCTTTGAAAAAGTGCTTAATAAGGGCAGAAATATAGTAACTCAAGTGCTGCCAGGAACAAAGGTCTAGAGATTTGCAGGCACATTAATGATGAGTAACAGAATAATAACTACATCTGCACAGTTGCTTTAAATTTTTAGGATAGGGGGAAACTATTAATAAAACTTTATTGAAGCACAGAGAAAATGAAGAACAGTGCACTCCTCCAAAGCTGTTGAGGACACAGTGGTTAGTGAGAGTGTGAAAACATCATGTGGACTTGGGTTATGTGCAGGGCCCTGGAAGAACTCTAATGATTACAATAGTTTGGGGTTTGGTTTTCCATGTAATTCAAAATAAACAGTATTTCATAGGATCATAGAATGTTTTAACTTGGAAGGGACATTAAAGATCATATATAGAATCAGGAAGAGACATTAAAGATCATATATAGAATCAAGAAGACTGATGGATCCATCCAGGTTCAGCAAAAAGTATCTCAGCCTCCAAGTTACTTGCAGTGTATCTGCTCTGTTTCTTTCTTGTAGATTTTCTATTTTATGGTCATGTCTTGACAGAGATTCATGGAATTCATTTATCTCCATCTGATTTTAGGGGGAAGATGTGTAGGCTCTGAAGTGCAGCATTTGATGGCCTCAAGTTGGGTAACTATGAAACCAAGGTATCTGTTTGGGAAAATGTTGATTTATATAGACCAGGTACTAAAGGGCCAGACCTGGGAAGTGTGGCTCCCAGCCCAGAGCCATCATCTCTCTAAAACCACTCCTCCAAACTCCTGGCATATTTTGAGATAACCTGCACCTTAACAATGAAAATCAAAGTATTGTATAAAGAACAAAGAGTGAAAAAGAAAAACAAAGTCAAAATACTTGTGTGGCTTGGGAATTGAAAAATCATTTCAGCGAGCCATCTCTGACAGATATTTTTTTGAAAACTAATACTGAATAGTAAATTTGCTGCAAGGAAAAAGCTAACTACATGCTCAAACCACAACATCTATAAAAATAAAGGCTGTGTTTGCAAGCAATTCTTCTTCTCAGAGGAATCATCCAGGTCCAGACTGCTCCCTGGAAGGAGCATTAACTACATCAGGTTTTTTTTCAAGCATGGAGCAAAGTCCCAAGTGTAGCAAGTAATTGAAAGATCATTGACCAACAATAGCAAGTTAGATGCCGTCAGGGAGAGCCTGAATGCTGTACAAACAGCTCTGTCTCCCTCTTTCCTTCCAACACAGAGCCCAGCAAGAGGATATCAAAAAGCATTCATAGTCACAATGTGACCCTCACACATTCAACTCAGGGAAGGGGCTGAAAAGAAAGGAGGTGCCAGCATTATTCAGGGTGTTCTTGGGAGGAAGAAAGGGAGGCAAGACAGTTTTGTATATTCAAAAGCAAACCCCAGACAAAACAGTGAAGACAGGCTGCACATTGTTCAGGGCTGCTAGACATTATGCATTTCTCACGGAGAAGCATCTCTGCTGTGTCTGATCTCAGCAACCCCTGCTCTGATGTCGGGGCTGGTGGGGGCAGCTGGTGCCTGTGGTGGTTTGCTAGAGCAAGAGCCATGGCAGCCCCACAGTGAGTGCAAGACTCACACTGCTATCACCATCCCTAGGGTGCAGACAGGAAGGCAGATTGTGCCACATATCTCTGAGGAGGTCTCACCCCCCTGGAGACATTTACTGACAAGGAAGAGGAGGAAGGGGAGGATATGTTATTGGATTAGTGCTTCCCCGTCCTCTCCTCTTCCCCAGCTCATTTGCAGAAGCTCCAGGAGCACAACACTTCCTTGCCTCAGCCCTTTCTGTCGGGAGTTGAGCAGTGCTGCCCAACCCTCTCCAGCACACCTACATGGAAACATGATTGCTGCCCTTGACTTGCAGCCTAGCACTGGCTGACTCACATATCTGGGGTGGAAACACCTTCCCCAGTCATCCCCTGGTACTGCCATTCCCTTGGCATTTTTTACTTCCTGGGAACAGGCATGGCCCCATCAGAGGGACTATAGGGAGGTCAGGCACTGCACCAGGGATGCAGGTGTGTTTCCAGCTGCAGCACAGACAGGCCCTGTACAATACCCAGCCTCTGCTGGGTGCAATTCCACCACCAGTTCTCTCTCTCTTCCCTCTGGCTCATATATCAAGTTGCTTCCTTCCAGCTCTTGGGACAGATGTTGGAATGGTGTTCACTCTCTGGGAGAAGATACTGAGCTCCATTTTCTCAGCTGCTTGAAGGCTTAACCACCCTCCCTAGCTATAGCCAAGGAAACAGCAGTGGCAGGAGACACCAGCCTTGGGCTCCAGGGCTGTTTTGGTGACTCTCCGTCAAAAATCTCTGCTTCTCGCCTGAAGGGAGCTCCAGCTTCATACCAGTCAAATACCATCAGCTATAGGAGAGCTCCTCTTTTTTCATGGTATGGTATGCTCTGGAGACAGGCTGTGAGAGTTGAGATTGTTCAGCCTGGGGATGAGAAAGATCCGGGGAGACCTTTGAGGCAACCCCAGTGCCTGGAGATACTGAAGAACCATCTGGATGCAATCCTGTGCCATGTACTCTAGGATGACCCTTTATGGGCAGGGAAGTTGGACCAGATGGCCCACTGTAGTTGCTTCCAACCTGACTAATTCCAAATATTCTGTGAATAAAGGGGCTCCAAGAAAGCTGGAGTGGGACTTTGAAAAATGGCCTGGAGTGACAGAAAAGAGGGAACAGACTCCCACTGTCATAGCGCAGGTTAGATGGGATATTTGGAAGAAATTGCCCACAGAAGCTTCTGCTGCCTCGTCCCTGGAAGTGTCCAAGGCCAGGCTGGATGGGGCTTGGAGCCACCTAGTCTAGTGGAAGGTATCCCTGGCCATGGGAGGAGGTAGAATGAGATGGTCTTTAAGGGCCCTTCCAATCCAAACCATTCTGTGATTCTATGATTCTGTAAGTAAAATTAGTACTGGAGCAGCAGCATTCAGCAGTAAGTGACCTGGGTGGGCTGCTTGCTTCCCTGGGTGAAGTTATGCTGGTTTAAACCAACTTAATAACTGTATTAACTTAACAACAACTTAATAACTGGGGACTGTATTGGCAGAACATATGCAAACCCTGTTGTTCAGCCGCCTCAGGCTAAATTCGTTTCTTTAGCCATGGAATCTCTGGGATACAGAGGCTCACATTTATAGAAAGTTTATGAAACTACACTTTATCCAAACTTTTATACATGGACTCATTGTTAAGAGGATGACTGGTCTGGCTGACTTCTGTGGGAGGGGATGGATGTGTAGTTAAACTGGTGCCTGCGGCTGAAGAAGAGAGGAACTTCCCCATGGGCTGGTCTGTGGCCTGTTGAAACAGCACACAAGGAGCTTGGGTTTTAGATTATATCAACACATTTTGCTTCCTCCTATCGTGACAGGCCAAACCAGTAAAGATTTACTGATTTTATATTGAAACCAGTTCTGCAAACACCTCTCCAAAATAGTTGAGCAAAGTATAATTGGGGTAATAGAGCCCAGGATAATAACACCATTGAAGCAGGTATTTTGCTAGAGGTTGCGTGAATAGCACTGAAGAGTAGGAAATGCCTATAAGGGGGGGATGGACATACAGAGAGCATACAAAATACAGGGGTGAATTCTTATGGATGAAGTAAGCAGAACTGTGGAATTGCAGAAAAATTGAAGTTGGAAGAAATCTCTCCTTCCACCAAGCAGTTCAAACCATCTTTGAGAAATATTTGGGGCTTGAAGATACATGATTAATCAGCACCTCTGAGCACTAAATCAAGATTAATAGTTTCATGCAACTTAACTGCAGTATGGCTGCAGATGCCTACATATTAACAGGGCTTAGCAGGGGATTAAACCAATTTTAGGAGTAAAGAACCTTGGAAGCATGTTTGTTCCTCCCTTGGGAGAGACAGTGCAACTCCATCAGGAGGAGTACCACCAGGGCATGGGTTTTGGGTGGCACAGAGGGGATGAATAAACTGGTTGGAGCAGACCTGCAGCAGCCTTTGCCCCACTGGGTGAGTCATTGCAAAATCCGGGAGTCAGGGCAGAGGGGTCAAGAAGAAAGGGAGAGAGAAGTGAACAGAGTAGGAAACAGATGTTACCATACAACTGTTTTGTGTAGGATTTACGACAGTGCATGGAGTCAGAGGCAAGAAAGGACCATCAGCTCATGGAGGCTGACTTCCTGTATTTTGGTTCCATCCTGTTGCCTTGGGTGCAGACTGTACTCCTACCCCATTCACAGTCCCAGAGGGTCTCACATCTCTGGGCTCCCAGGCTGTGCTGTAAAAACTCAGCTCTGTAGCACAATTTGGGGTGATGGCTACTGCAATTTGAGCCCTGTGCAGCTGTTCAAGGAAGCAGAACATCTGGCTCAAGAAGGAGATTTCTGTGGAATCCCTTGGGAGGAAACAGTCTTTCATTATAATCCAGAAAGGTCTGGAGAGCTGGATTTAATTTTTTTTTTCCAGTTTAAATAAATGTGACTTAAATGTAAAATGTTGTGATCTATGAAATAAATACAGAAAAGATTTTTGACATTTCTTGCGGTACTTTGAGCTCTCCTCAACATAATCATGTGAGTGTCCAGTCTGAGCAAAGACAGACAAGGAAGAAAGGTGGGAGGCAAAGGAATGGGAAAAGAAAACCACCCCCAGTTCAGCACAGCTGCAAGTGCAGGTTCACAACTATTGGGAGATGACGAGACACCTGCTGAAACAAGAAATGCTGGTTTAGAAAGAGCAGAACTGTCTTGTGCAGACTCTGCTGAAAGGATCTACCCTGAGCACACAAAACTGGCTGCTGCTGTGTTTGAGAATGCAGACTGAAAACAGCGGGCTCTTCCGCAATGAGGCACGCCCCAGGGTGTCTTTATAACAGGATTGTGTGTTTTAGAAGTAACACTGGATAGAAGCATTATCTGGGGATCTGTGAGTCAGCTTGTGTTTGGTATTGGCAGATAAATATACTAATAAGCACATGCAATAATAGCCACCTTGAAGGAACAGCCTCAATTTCTGATATGGCAAATAGGTTTGCTAACAATGTGCAGAGATTGGCATTAGGAAGTGGTTGTGGTTGAGTCCTGAACAGTCAGTTCAGGAGAGGCAGGAAAATGCATTCCTTGGCTAAACTGTGCTCCAGCAATGAGTAAGAGGTAAGGGCTTTTCTGGAGCTTCAAAACCATCCTTGCTCCAGGCCAGAAGTGTTGCATGGGCTACGGGTTACTTGATATTTTGTGGGTAGCATTGCCTCTGTCCCAAAGGGTGGGGCTCACCTCAGCAGGCCTGTGAAACTGGCAGCAACTGGAAGATGCTTAGGTGAGATTTCAGGAAGAAATTCTTCCCTGTGAGGAAGGTAAGGCACTAATACAGGCTGCCCAGAGAAGCTCTAGCTGCCCCATCCGTGAGAGTGTTCAAGGCCAGGTTGAAGCAACCTGATCTAGTGGAAGGTGTCCCTGCCCATGGCAGGGGGTTGGAATGAGATTTAGCTTTTAGTGCCCTTTCACTCCAACCCATCCTGTGATTATGTCTTCTTCAGAGTTTTCTTCTGTAGTCAGTAGAGTATTGGTCACTAGTCTGTGACCAATTAGAATTGGTCACATAGTCTTTCCTATGTGGAAAGGCTGAGGAACTTGCAATTGTTTAGCCTGGAGAAGGCTC